AAATAGTAGGCATTTGTGTACTGAATCCCACATGTGACCTGAATGCCCATCTTTCAAAATTCTGTTCTGTCTGGAACCTCCTTGTGTCTGAGGGGTGCCATTAATGCATCATCTACCAACAATCACAGTGGATACAATTTTATCAAATGCATAAAAAGACGTAATTACCAGGTCTGCTAATTGAGAGTTCTGGTGTGCTCAATAGTTTAGGAAGATATCTATCAGCCTCAGTTGAAACTGGAAAAAAGCAAACAACCCCAAAAGAAGTTAAGGATATCCACGTTGAAGATTAAGATAACAGCTAAGTACCCCAAGATGCCTTGGAGGCGTTCCATCTGAAAATAAAAATCTTGTGCATGGCCTTAAGATGAAGAAATATATGGTCCCATATGTGTCTTATTCCTCTCACTATAACAGGAAGTTATTGTGGGTACAGTAGTGTGTCTCAAGATTGGAAGTCTACTTTTATTCCCCTTCTAGAAAGGTTACACAGGGAGTGTTGTGCTGCCTGTGTGATTGCATCAATATTTTTAGAATTCTGCATTTCTCCATTTCAAGAGAGCCAAGAAATTATCTTGCAAAGAGGAGAAAGAAGTATTGAAAAAAGTCACTCTACCAGGTTTCCTCTCCGGTACTTCTGTCATGATAGATTCATGTTCTTTGGGTTCTGACGGAACAGGGCTTGGTTCATGAGTAGCTGAAAGGAAGGTCCAGTTCAGAATTAATCTATATGCTGACAGGAACTTAGAGGATTCAAAACATTGTGTGATAGTAAGATCTTATAAAAAAGTTTGAAGTGAAAAGAGGAAGAATATTGGAGGGGAATGGGGGTAAAACCTGAGGAAAATGGACTTAAAAAGTAGCATGACAAAAAAAAAAAAAGTTTAGCGGCGGGGTCTTCTCATATTAGGCATCTGTGTACAAAAGTTCTACGTGTGAACCACACAGAGGTCTTTCAAAGTTCTGTTAAGTCCAGGACCTCCTTGTGTCTAAGGAATGCTATTAATGCACCATCTACCAATAATCACAGGGAATTTGGTGGCACATATAAAAAGACATAATTACCAGGTCTCCTAACTGGAGGTTCTGTGGTGCTCAGTAGTTCAGGAAGATAATTATCAGCCTCAGTCGCAACTGGAAAAAGCAAACAACCCCCCCAAAAGTTCAGGATTTTCAGTTGAAGGACAGGGTGACAGCTAAGTACCCCAAGATGCCTCAG